CCAAAACCCCAAAACCCCAAAACCCCAAAACCCCAAAACCCCAAAACCCCAAAACCCCTTATATTTTTATTAAATTGAATTAACCATTCATTTTGATAAAAGTACATAAGCCATTTAAGACTGTGGTTAATGTTAAAACCCATATTTCTTCAATCTTTAAGGTTCTAGAAAACTCTTCAGCTCAGTCTAAATCAGACCAAAAGCAAGGCTGCATAGTTGCTGTTATGCCACAGAAGGAGCTTGAGCAAGATCCTCCTCAGTGGTAAGTCTAGAATCCTGCTTTCAACCTATGATGACCCTAAAGAGTCCACATCTGAGAAGAAGTCTAAAGCTCTCCGTTCTATTGCTGTGTAAACGATGCAAGCTTTGAATTCAAAGAAGGTGACTCATGCTGCTTTCCATATTTCTGATTGTTTTGACTAGTCGAACCTGGATCAGTTCTCTCAAACTACAAGTATAACAAAAAGGAGGATGTATTCTCTTCAGATCTTAGTGAGGAAGAAAAGAGAGAGAAAACAGTGCATTCCCAATTATTAGAGAATTTACAATTTTGCACTCCTCATTCTCTCTCAGAAGCTCAATTAAGGGAAGCCGATTTTTATATCACTGCTGCTAAAGCAGCTTTGTTTGGGAGAGACATCATCAACACCAGAGGCTCTGAGGCTGATCCTGCTTTTATGGAAGAGCAGATTAGAAATGTAGCCGAGGGTAAGAAGAACATCACTGATATTCATCTTATTAAAGGCCAATAGTTGCAAGATAAAGGACTAAATTTATTTTACAGTGTTGGTAAATCTGCTCAATCAGATCCTAGGCTAGTCAGTGTTTACTACAAGGGAAATCCAGATTCTGAAGAAACCAATTAGGCTGTTATTGGTAAGGGACTAACTTATGACACTGGATGTCTTAATCTAAAGCCAGGAGGTTCTATGCTCACTATGTACTGTGATAAAGAAGGAGCAGCAGCTGCACTTGGAGTTTGAAGGGAGCAATTGAACTTGAACTTCCTTTAAACATTGCTTTTAGCTTTGGAATTGCTGAGAACTCCATAGACTCTAAATCATATAAGCCAGGAGACATTATTAAAAGTTTGAAGGGACTTACAGTGGATATTGGTAATACAGATGCTGAGGGAAGACTCGTTCTTGCTGATACAATGACTTGGACTCAAAATAAATTTAATCCTAGCAATATGATCAATCTTTCTACATTAACTGGAGCTGTACAAGTTGCTCTTGGAGGAAATATTGCAGGAATCTTTACAAATGATGAAAAGTTTATGTCTAAATTCAAGAAAGCAGGTGATTCAATTTATGAGCAACACTGGCATCTACCAATATATGATGACCACAGAGAAGATATGAAATCAGATATTGCAAATCTATCAAATACTGGCAAATCTCGATTTGGAGGATCAAGCACTGCAGCTGCATTTTTAGAGAATTTTGTTGAGAAAGATACAAAATGGATCCACTGCGATATTACTGGCCCTGCATATTTAGACAAACCATTTGAGGCTATGTCTGCTCATGGAATTGGGTTTGGAATCCAAACCTTGCTAAAAATGTTCAGAGATCATTAAATATCTGTACTTCAAAAGATTCCTCAATCAAATAATTTCAGAAAGGGGTTTTGGGGTTTTGGGGTTTTGGGGTTTTGGGG